CCCCCTGTAGGTTTGTTCGGAGGTTTCTTGGTTCTGTCCTTCTGACTATTGCAGAGCAAGCGATGGCAGCCTCTATGGCAAGGACCCCCTTGGTGGCTCTGTGGGATAAAAACGGACTCAGTTTCTAAGGCCCAACAAAAACAAACGATTCTAAAACTAGATTGAAAACATACTAATGAATTATGGTAGTATGTCCATTTTTCGTGACCAATAGGGATCGCTCGCTTTAAATTTTGTGGGTACCACTGCGACGCTTTTAATGTTGGTGTCTCGTCAAGTGCTGTTACTTTTGAGTCAACTTGTTCATGTTAGTGTTTTTGCATGTTTGTCCTTCCTGTGTGTTAGTTTTGTGTTTTTTTACTGCAGCCTTTTTTCCCTCGACAACTTTAGAAGACCGTGACTTCCTTCCCTTTTTTTTGCCGGGTGGGGTGATTTTTCCACCTTTGTTAATTTTTCGGTCGTACCCCGCCGCTGAGTTGTTTCACCTGTTTTCACTGGTCGGGGGATACCTGTAGTAAGATAGGTCCTGTGGGGGTCTCCGTTGTCTGTTGTCAGGCTCGTCTTGGTGTGGGCAGTCTTGGTGGTGAGTATCGTTCAAGTGTGTCCAGGCGCGAGTGTTTCAGGTGGTGGATTTCATGTTGGTGTATTGAAGGGTTTGGTGTTTTTGGTTTTGCACTTTTATAGTCCTGTCCTTGAGGAGAGCCCTCTTGTTTGAATGTTTATTTTGGATAAATAGAGGATAGTCATTTGTTGCCGTACATACTGTTGTTCTGGTTGCCTTAGAGCTCGGTGCATTTGAGGTCCTCCGAGTACTGGTGTGTCAGATGTCGTGGACACTTTAATCGGGTATGAGTTTAAAGCTCGAGTTGAAATCGCCACGTAAACCAAAGGGCAAAGACAGCCTGAAAGGAGGATGATTGGTCATTATGATTTCATAAAGCCAAGTAGAGAGAGTGGAGCAGGGCAAAGTTCCTTCAAGCTATCTAATAATAACACACAGCGTATAGAATGTAACCTGAGATAAAATGAATTCGCCTTTTTGGGGGAGGCGGGCCTGGTCGGGTAGCCTCAAGTCGGGGAGAACTGGTGCTCCCATGTGTAAACCGAGGTTCCTGGCTGCAGGGCAGCCCAGGGTTCAGAATCAGACCTGGGCGCGCCCTTTTGGCTGCTCTGTCATCCCCTCTCTCTGCCCCCGCGTTTCCTGCTCTGTCTTCAGGGCTGGGGCGTCACTATCAAGAAGAAGGGTGCAATGAAAGCCCCCCAAAAAAGTAAAATTTTTTAGATTCCTTCAATTGTTAACGGGAAGCGCAGAGCCTGCAAGCTAGGTTCAGGGCAGGTTGCAGACTCGGTGTGTTGTGGCTGGACGGGTATACAACAGACGGGGAGTGGCTTCACTCCAGATTGAGTCACTAACCAAGCGCACGCCTTCCAATCTGGCGGTTGTTTAAAGTTTAAACTGGCAACAATTTCAACAAGCTTCTCCCCTTGCTCTGTCAATAGCCGTCTGTGTTGCCCTGCATCCGGTATTGCCGCCTGCTGCATCGGTTAAACCTTGTGCTCGAGGTTATTGAATTAAATCGTCACCATGGTCTGCAAATGCGCATTGTCGATCCTAACTTTTGGGCGGGTTATGTCAGCTCAGCTATGTCTCTCGCCATCTCTGAGCTCAGAGAGTGGAGTTTCCTTGTCGGGCTAAGGTGGGGGAAGATATTTGGTTTTCATCCCCCCCAGCAGCCCAGGCTCAGGGTCCGCTGAGGGTTCACTCTGAGAAGCGACTAGTGGGGGGAGGAAGGACCCCTGGCGCCTTGGCCTGCGGTAGCTGCGTGGATCACGCTTGCAGATGACTCGCTGCTGGCCCGTGCACCACATCCTGGAATCCTGGAAAACCTGTATGCTCGCAACATCTCAGTTCCACTTCGGCCTTAACCATGAAGAGCTCTTCAGTTATCTCTCTGTTCAAGAGAGCTCCGCTGATGTCCAGGACTCGGGTTTAAACGCTGCTAATCAAACATCGCATCTCCCAAAAGTAAAGGGCCATCTTCTGCTACCTGTGAGACCGCACAACCTGTCCGCTGCCTGCTGACGTCACACCCGACAGGATTCTGGGAACTGCAACAATGGGCTCTCGGTTCCTGCACCCCTGCAGTAGCAATTCCTGATTCCCTCAGGAGTCAAATTCGAAGCTCTCAATCTACTGGTCAGGTGGAGAGATTATATCTCCACACTGGCCTGGGAACGCCTCAGGATCCCCATTCAGAGTTGGCCGATGTGGCCAGGGAAAGGGTGGGGTTCTCTACTGGACTTGCTACACCCGCGATCCGATCCCAGATAAGTGGATGAAGATGAGATGAGATGAGATGGGATATTGA